CTCTTTTTATTATTCTTAAATGTTTTAAACAGTTGATCTTCAAAATCTAACCCGATGAGTATTGTCTTTGCTTTTAAAAAATTGCAACTAAAATCTTATATTTAACTGGTGAGGTTAAAGTCTATTATAGGTCAAGAATATATCTAGTATTAAGCTGTAATAGCTATAGACCCATAGATGATAGGAAGGGAGGGCTTAAGGGATGGAGGGCAGGAGAGAGGGAGGGAGGGAGGGAAGGAGGGAGGGAGGGAGGGAGGGAGGGAGGGAGGGAGGGAGGGAGGGAAGGAGACAGACAGGCAGACAGAGAGACTGACACAAAAGCCTTTTATGTAAATCACAAGCAGCTATGACGATTTCATAGTCAGGTCATTGGTTTCTTCCCTCCAGGGTTAACACAGATAAATCCAAGGACATCTGAGCTCACTACAAATTTTAAATCCCTTTAACATCCTTGGGTGTCTTTAGTAGCATGGTTAATATGTGTGTTCTATTAAAAGCATACATTTCACACTGTCATTTCAGATTTTGGAACATGTGGCATATATTATATTCTAGGCAGGCAGCACAGGATTCAAAGTGCACACTCTAGGAGCTGAAGAAATGGATTGGTGATTGAGAACTCTTGTTGCTCTTGCAGAGGGCCCAGATCGGGTTCTCCAGCCCACATGACAGATCACAATCCTCTGAGAGTACATGTAATGTACACACATACATGCACCGCAAAACACTCTACACAAAAAAGCAAGATAATTAAATTAACCTAAAATTATTTTACGTCTGTGCTTTAGATCAATAGAGTCCTGTTTGAATCCTAGCATTGCTACTTGCCATCTGTGAGTGAGAATTGGGCATGCTTTGACACCTCTTTGTCCTAAGTTTCTTGATTTGTAAACAAGACATAATAAGAGTGCTTATTAAGAGTGCTCTTGAATGGCACTGAGGGTCTACAAGATTATCAACAAATCATAAGGCCCAAGTTGCTGTAGCAGAAGTGAGACTGTCAACTGCCCTGCTCAAACTAGTCAGAAATCGCCACTTGGATGGAAGGTTAGCCAAGCAGCTGGACCTCAGACTGAGGCAAATTACATGTTGCAGGTAACTTTGCCACACAACTTTGCCTCAGCTTCTGCCTGTGCCTAAAGCAGTCACTGCAGGAGTCCCAAGGAATACCTGTACCGTTTCCCAGATTGGACCAGCTAGTTGAGAATCTAAGAACAGTATTTCCCTTCATCCATAGTTGCCCATCTTCTCATGATAGCCCTTGGTCCAGACCACCCAGGAACATTCAGACCTAAAGAGGGCCCCTTATGCTATAAGATCAGGAAAAGCCTTCATCCAGTCACTATAATATCTCAAGCCACAGCTGACCCAGAGGGGAGGTGGCTGCTCTAGATATCGTTCTGCTCAGTAGCAGAGAGGACCAGGCTGGCAGATGAACAAGGATCTGGTGCCCAGGCCCCAGCCCAGACCTGGCACCTCATCTGTTCACTCACCACAGCTCCAGAGTCTGTGTCTCCTCTCATCTGTCCCTCTGCTAATAAGAAGCATCTCTTGTTGTGCCCATAAAGGCCAGTGCTTTATAATCTTCCTGTTAGAAGTAGAGACATAACAGGTCTGCTGGGAACCAGACGTAAATCCAAGAGGTTTACACGGCTCTCCTTGCTGAGGTCCCTGAGCTCTGGGACAGACAGCTCTGAGACCTGGAGTACAAGCCTCAGGCAAGTGCTTGAGTTCCCGAGGAGTTTTCTTTGGGGCACCAGAAGGATGCTCAGGCACCTCATACAGAGTGGCTACTTTTCCCAAAGACCCAGCCCCACCAACTCCAGTGACAGATGGAGGCAGATGGAGAGCAAGTGGGTGACTAAACTGGGACACACTCTGTCCTTCTGGGGACGAGACCTTGAAGAATACCTGCATCTAGAGAGCATCGGTGTGGTCTCGCCAAATTCTGCCAAAGAGGAAGCAGGGTGGCCGGAAACACACATCAGTGCTTTAGGCCTGGGAAACTTGGGAGAGAGAAGAAAAAAGTTTCTCTAACCCAAGGTGGTGTTTAGGAAATGACAGTATTGGAAAGTAAGGCTGCACTCAGGAAGCAAGCTTTTTCTCTCTCTCCCAGGAATACCCTTGGAGATCATCTGTTGAGCATGAGGTAGTGGAAAACTTCTGGGCTATTAATTTCTGGATCTGTTAGCAAATGTGTGATTATGAGCAAATGACTTCCTTGACCCTTAGTCTTTATTCATATATTGTAGGTGATGATTGTTTCATAGAATCTTTACTTCCATTAAATTAGGAGATATGGGACTGATGTAGAGTGTTTCCTATTCTTCCAGAGGACCCGATTTTAGCTCTTAGGACTCACATCAGGCAGCATAACTGCCTAATAACTTCCACTCTGGGTAGCCAACATCCTCTTTTGGCCTCCATGGCTCATGTGTGCACATAAATACACAACCACACACACACACACACACATATAAAATAAACCTTGTTTTTTTCCATCACTCATTAATCTGATTTATTTTGGATGCTTTTACTTCATAAAATGACTCTACACACTGCAAACTTTTCATGTGAAATTTTTTCTTTTTCATTGTTTGAGAATTTTGTACATGCATACACTATGTTTTGATCAACTATATACCCCATCCTCTTTCCCCCAATTCCTCCCCTATCCCCCCACCATTTTTTTCTACCAAATTCATATGATTTTTTTAAAGAAACACCCTGAGTCCTTTAAAACTTAAATAAATTAGAATACATGAGACTTTCGGGAAAGGCTTATAAACTTTGCACATACTCTTTCAACTTCCCCATAAGATGTTAAGAGCTGCTTTTGGTGGTCCATCAAGCCTCCTCTATAACCAACATACCACATTAACCTGCCCCTATCCTGTGCTTGCAGCTGTAGAAGACTTTTAACATGTTTATTTTTATTTGGGACTCTAGGGAGAGATCTCACGTACCTGCAGTACTGACCACACCTATTTCGTGGTCATAGGTAGGTGGGGGAAGGCAGAGATAAAGGTCAAGGAAGGAGGGGTCACTTTCTCTCTTGGGTTCCAGTCAAGGTCGGAGACCAGCAGAGTGCTGACCTCAGTTCTCTGCTTCGCACATAAGTGGTTTCTCCCTAATAAAATTACATACGACATCCCTATCCTGTGTATGGTAATCTTCCTCATCATGGGACTATATCAAACTGACTCAGAGAGAGAGAGAGCCGGGCAGTGGTGGTGCACACCTTTAATCCCAGCACTCGGGAGGCAGAGGCAGGCAGATCTCTGTGAGTTCGAGGCCAGGCTGAACTGAGAGCCTCCAAAACAATACAGAGAAACCCTGTCTCATAAAACCAAAGAGAGAGAGAGAGAGAGAGAGAGAGAGAGAGAGAGAGAGAGAGAGAGAGAGAGAGAGACCAGTTCTCCAGGTATATCTCAAACCAGCCAAGTCACAACCAAAATTAATCTCACACTCCCGTGCGTTTGTTTACATCATTTGATCCATAATGGTGTCTTAAGATTTGAGATCCTATTATTTCCTGGGGGAAGTAGAAGGAGGAAGTTGGGGTTCCTGGAGGAAGTGGAATGCTGCTAGAGTAGAATGCTGTAATCATATATAATACCAGCTCTTAGCCTGTTTGTTTATTTGTTGTTTTTACTGTGCCTAGGAAAATCTGAGCAGTTTTCTAGTGATATTACTTACATTAAATAAATGGAATTTTTCAAACAAAAATAACTAATATTCCAACATATCTGTTTTGCCTTCTACATTCTGTCTGACAAGTACCACCTTTAAGGATCCTTACCTTGAGAAGAGAGCAAGTATGAGGCAACAAATCTAGTGAGATACAGAGTGTCATCTAGTGCTATATAGCAAAATGGACACCTAATCTACCTCTACTTTATCTTGGGATAAGGTTTTGTTTGTTTGTTTGGTTTGGTTTTAGACAGGGCTTCTCCATGTAGCTTTGGAGCCTATCCTAGAACTCGCTCTGTAGACCAGGCTGGCCTCGAACTCACAAAGATCCGCCTGCCTCTGCCTCCCGAATGCTGGGATTAAAGGTGGTTCTTTTCTGGCTTCCATGGAGGCTTACTCGATGCCTGCATGAAACAGCAACAGGTCTTCAGGAGTATGAAGCTGAGTCGTTTTCTGATGTTATAGTTCTCTTTGTCCTTTCAGATGCTTGACTCTGATTTTCATTCTGCTCTCTGGGATGGTTTGTGTTCTTGGAATCAAATTCCACTACAGCAGCTGAAAAAAGAATCTCTCTTAAATAGGACTAGACATTTCAAAGCACTGAATGTTTTATGTTTCCTAAATATAATAAATGTCAAGGAAAATTCAACCAATGCTTTTTAGCGCAAATATAATACAGTCGATGCTCACAAATCTCAACTCCCTTCATTGGTACAACACCTATCTTGACATCTAAGGAATAAATTTCTCACCCCAGACTATATGAGAAGAGGGGAGCAAAATCGGAAGAGAGATGGGAAATGAGTATAATTAAATTACACTGTACAATTAATATGTGCTAATTGAAACAGTGACGGGATCTTTCACCCAGGACTTTAAAGAACTACCAGTCTTGTGGGAGGGAATCCATTCCTGGAAGTAGCAAGCAGATGGTGATTCCTCTCCACCGGACCCCTTCTCCCAGATGCTCCTAGGTGAGAGGTGAAGACCAGTGTCAAAGACAACACATCGGTGTCGTGTAGATTACACTGTTAAATGAGACCAGGAGGCCTCAGAGAGAATGTAGGCGGCAGGGCAGTTTCCTCCGCCTGTCCCTGCGGCTCCAGTCAGCAGCTTCTAGCACCTCTGACCTCTCTCTTCTCACACTCTCCACCCAGCCTCCGCCCTCTCTGCCTCCGTCCTCCCCTAGCCGCTCAACTCGGCTCCTCCCCTTGCTCCTCCCACTTCCTTCTAGACTAGCCTCTGAGAGGAAACTGAAAGTGAAATTTAGGGTGCAGGCTTGTGAAAGCATCGCTGGGAGCCCGCCCGCCCGCCCCTAACCCATGCTGAGGACCCTGGTAAGGTGAGTGAGGCTGGGCTCCCAGACCCACCTAGGAGTGCTGTCTCCTCCGCCCCAGATTTGAGGAGCCCCTTCCCACCAGCGACCCCCACCCTGAACCTGCCGGCGCACCTGCTGCTTCTCTCCAGCAGAGTTCTCTAGATCCAGCCCTGGCAGCTGCCTGTGGGAGCTGGGCTCTAAAAGTGACCTTTCTGGTGCCCTGCCTGGAAGGGGCTGCTTTAGTGACTGGTGCCCCAGGGAGAAGCAGGCTGTGACCTAACCCAGAAGGGAACTCAGGGAAACGCCTGCCCTTTGAAGACCTCTGCTGGAGGTGAGTGCTAGCCATTTAAAATATTCTACTGGAAATGTATATGGGTTTAAGACACTCAGCGCCCTAAAAGAAGTTGAGACAGGCACAAGGTTTGGAGAGGCTTAGAGAAAAGCCCGGGGAGTGCTCCCCACAAATGTGTATGGATAAGTACACATATTCACATGTGTACATAAACATTCATATAGGAGAACTACATTGATGCATTTGTGCTTAAGGATATTTTATGTCTAAGAACATATTAGGATAAATAAAAAAACAGCTATGTATATACATGTACATACACACACATGCAACCCTAGTGACTGGGAAGTGTACCCTTGGATGATGTTATAAAGAACGCACACCTTGATGTATACTTACGTGAACCTGAGAGGGTAACTAATGACACACTGTGTGATGTAGCCTATTCTTCATCATCATATTTGACCAAAATGTCTCATGTAGTGAATAACTTCGTAAACCTTTGACTCCTAACTCCTGCAGTTATTGTCAAGAGTAATGAAGGCAGACATAAGCATGCAGCACCCAGTTGGAATATGGAGGGTGCTTGGTAAATGGGCTGTGTGGCAAATGGCCGCTCTCCGTGCCGTGGGGGCATGAGATGAAAGAGAGAGTGTGGGAGAAGCCTGGAGACTGAGGGTGAAAGCAGGGATGGACATGATGAGGTGGAATTATTAGCAGCATGATCCCTGCCAGTTTTCAGTGCCTCTTCTGGAGACTCGGTTTCCCCTTCTGCCTGACTAGGTCAACGGGTCAGAGTAGGGAGGGGAGGCTGCTGTTATTCAGGTTGATTCCCTCGCCTTCTTTTGTTTTCCCCTCCCGTGTCATCCTCTCACATGTTTTCCTTCCCATTGCTTTGGGGACTTTGGTATTGTCTTGCTTTTGCTTTTGTCATGCAAACTTTCATTTATCTCTTCTCCTCTCTGCGCTCAAAAGCCTCAAAGATGTCTCTGGAAAAGATGTGGGAGAATGTCACCTGCTCTATCTGTCTGGATCCCATGGTGGCGCCTATGAGTATCGAATGTGGCCATTGCTTCTGCAAGGAATGCATTTCTGAGGTTGGGAAAAATGGCGGCAGTACATGTCCCGAGTGCCGGCAACACTTTCTGCTCAGAAACCTCAGGCCCAATCGACATATAGCCAACATGATAGAAGACCTTAAAAGAACAGCCAGGGATGCCGGGAAAGGCACCCAGGAAGACTGCTGCATGAAGCATGGAGAGAAACTTCACGTGTTCTGTGAGGAAGATGGGCAGGCCCTTTGCTGGGTGTGTGCCCAGTCTGGGAAACATCGCGACCACACCAAGGTCCCTATTGAAGAGGCTGCTCGGGTATACCAGGTGAGGCCCTAGCACAGAGACACGCACAGGTATTAAGAGGCTCCATGAAGAATGCTTTGCTCCCCAGAACAGTGGCCGAGAGTCCCCCCCTACAGCAGAGAAGTTGGGGAATGGAGGGATAGTTTCTTCTTTCATTGAGAGGAACTTGTGCATCAAATACAAGCTTGTTTCTTAGGAGCAGAGGCTGTGCCATGGGACATGTGTGGATCATGTTTCCTCTGGCTTCCTGGTGAATTAGAAATGTCATGACCCAGATCCCATCGCCCATCAGTGTCGCTCTGTTTTGTAAGACATACTAGGTTTCCCCCAAAGTCTTCCCATCCCCTCTTCCGCATCTCTATCTGGGGACTAACCTGCCACCTTTGTCTACAGGAGAAGCTCCTCGTGGCTTTAGAAAAACTGAGGAAAGGGAAAGAATGGGCCGAGAAGCTGGAAATGGATCTTGCAACGCAAAGAACAGACTGGAAGGCAAGAACTCGGGGATAGGCTGGGTCCCAGGTCTTGGCGTCAAGCAAACATTAACTATGACTGTGCCTATCCAAGGGGTAGGAGAATTGTAATATAGGTCACTCCTCAAGAACCATCAACACTAGGCAGAGAGGAATTTAAGAAAGAAAGAAGGAAGGAAGGAGGGAAGGAAGGAAGGAAGCTTAAAATGAGATGATATTTCTCCCAATCTGTCACAAAGATCAAGAATTACTGCAGAAAGTTTAAGAAGGTCACACCATCCCTTCTGACCCTGTCTTGGAGGATGAAGGTCTTGTGATAACAGGTCTGAGGTATCCTGTGAGAAAACCCCAACTCCTGCACCCTTTAGACATGACAAAGGCAAGGCGGGAGGGAACAGCCGGAAAGGATCTGTGTAAGCCTGAGGTAGGAGGCCCACCTGACTCGGTGGCTACATAATGACGACCAGGCTGTTAGTCCAAAGCCCAGTAAAGAGTTAAAGCCTGTCACATTGGCAATTTGCCTGTAGAAAACGGGATACTTCTGAAATTGACCAGGAATGTAAGGGGCTCCCAGCTGTCACAGGCCCCAAAAGACAAACTGGGATTAGCAAAGACTGAATCAAGCTGTGGTGGCAAAAGAGGTCATCCGGTGACCCTCCCAAGAGGGCAAAGACTGTCCTGGGGCCACTGTTGTGTCGCCCTGTCTCCTGTCCCCTACCCCATTACCTCCCCCCCCCCCCCCGCCCGACCTAGGAATCGTACAGTGCATCATTGGAACAGATTTTACTCTCTGTGTCTTGTTGAGGTAAGACAAGGGGACTCACATAGGCATTACTGGGTTTGGGGAGAAAAGATGAGAAGATGTTGGTGCCAGAAGTTGCTGTGAGCCACTTAAACAGTGCTGTTTCCCTGCCAGTCCTAGAGGCCAGTCATGTGCACGCTGGAGAGCATGCATGGGTGTGGGTGTGGTGTGTGCTTCAGCCTATTCCCAGACATAAACAGAAGGATGGGTGACCAGGAAACAGAAGCACCTCTACCACCAAAGCCTAGGAGATTTTTATTAAAACTAAAAATGCAAAACTCCTGCCTTTCCCTTGCCACCACAGAGGAGCGTGGACATACAAAAGTCGAGGATTCATGCGGAATTTGTACACCAGAATAGCTTGCTGGCCAAGGAGGAGCAAAGGCAGCTGCAGAAACTAGAGAAGGATGAGAGGGAGCACCTGAAACTCCTGGGGGAGAAGGAGGCTGAGCTGGCTGAGAAGAACCAGGCCCTGCAGGAGCTGATCGCAGAGCTGGAGAGGAGGAGCCGGGGCTCCAAGCTGGAGCTACTGCAGGTTCGACCCATGGGAGGCACCGGGAGTAACTGGGAGAAAACCAGAGCTATCTGGAACCGCTCCTAATGCAAATGCTACCTTAATCTTTGGAATAGTCTTAAATAAACAGAAATGTGGACCCAGGAGTGGCTTCCATTCCAGAACAACAGGGTACAGGCACAAGAGAATGTGCTCCATGTAGCAACCACTAGATGGACATCCCCGGAAGTGCCAGGTGTGGGAGCTGGAGCATGACACTTATCACGCCACCGGGATATATAGTATCACATATCTCGAGTGATTTTCTTTTTTAAGGAATTAAATGAGAGCACCCATACTGGTGCTTAGACAGGTAGCCATAAGGGTGCTTTTGAAAGTGTAATTTCCAAAACTGAGCTGTGTCGTTTCTCTCCATAGTGATAGATTATGGGAAACTGTTTTTCTTTCCTGTAGTCAGTTTCTCCACTGACGAAGCCGAGAGGGAATGGGATGCAGGAGACTGCCCCTCATTAGTCGTAGTTGCATTTTAATACTTCCTGCGACTCCTGAGAGCTCCCTACATGACTTTTAACTTGTTCTGCTTCTGCAAATAGTCTCACTCTCTTCCCAAAATAAATTTAGCTTTACAATAACTTTTCCAAGGCATGATAACTAAGAAATTATGTATTGGTGCTACTATTTTTTTCTAATTTTTCCCCATAATGATAACTGCAGATTCCTAAACAGCACACAGATGGTTTACCATGGTTCAGGTACGTGCTACTGTGCTCGAATTCCATGGATGAAAAGACTAAGGAACAGAGACATTAATAGACCTAGTGAGAGAGTCAAGCTAAATGACGTCAGTTTATCTAAGTAGTAAGAAACAAAAATTAAGATGAAATGTGTACATCATTGCTTTTAAAAATCCGTGTATATTCTAAAGCCATCTTGCATCCACCCATGATGTGTTAGCCTCGTTGAAGCACTATGGTCTAGAAGGTCTATGTGTTTCTTTTCTCACACCTCTGTCCCTGTCCCTCAGTCAGATGCATACAGACATTTCCTTGAGGGTTTGTTCAGAAAAGTTTGGCTTGGAAGGCTTTTCCCTGCCTTTCCCTTCCCTATCGCTGAACTGGGCTCCCTAGTGCCTTTTGACTGAGTCAAGTGAGTTGCCAGTTCCAACATTATGGGGACAAATTAAGCTCACTCTAAATAAGGCAGAGGATTAACCATCGCACAGGACAAGCTTTCAACCAACTAACCCTTCCTCCCCAAACAACTCAAGCCCATAAATGGCAAGAAGCCTTTCTGGACATCCTTCCTCAGCCATTCTCTTCCCGCAACTGCCTCTGGGCTTCAGTCTGATTATGCTATTTATTTTCCTCTTCTACCGTCTCCAAGGCCAACCTCCCTCCTCCAAGAACCTAGCCCTTATAATTTATTTTCTCGATCAGTTTTTAAACCCTGGTCATATCCTAGCGACCGGTCATATTCATGTTAGCTTCCTAGATATTCTATGAGCAGTCATGGATCCTTTCTGCTAAGAACTAGTCAGAATTGTCTGTGGCCCAAGGGAAGGCTGCAAAGCAGAGCCCAGAGGAAACATGGGTGTTAATGTCACATGAGTTCTGACTCAGTGGTCAATCGGAAACTCCAGAATTGACTCTGTGTCTCTTCTCTCCTCAGGAGGTGAGGTTTGTCCTGGAAAGGTAAGGAGAGATTTCCTAGTTAGAAAAGGGAACTGGAAGTACATGTACATAGAAATGGTTACTGAGTTAGGCACACATGTATTGGGAGTTTTCCCCATGCATCCCTATTCTCAGAGACCTGATCCTCTCTAAAATGTTCTCTGGCCTCAAAAGGCTAATGGACATCTCAATTGGCATATTGCCTGATGTAGTTAGACTATATCATCTTTATAAAGTCCCCACCTTCACAAAAGGTAATCTGAGTCTGCTGGGATTCCCCAGGTTCTTCACAGAGCTCAACCGATTAGATGGTTGCCTGAAAATTAAATGGAATCCACTTAGTAGAGACCTCTGGCTTTGGGAAGAGGAAGAGGTTTATTTGAGTTTTCTAGAACTTGGAACTCTGAAACTATTTGTTTTTCCTTTCCCATGGCTATTGAATGCATGAGTATGTGTAGATTTGTATTGAATGTGATTACCACAGTCGTTCATGAAGAATGTCATTAGGGCCTGGAGTAGAAGACAGGAGTGCCAAGTAAGATTCTCAAACTCTTTTTCCCCTAGGAGTAAATCCTTGAACCTGGAACCATTAGATGTTGCCTCCCCAGACCTGACAAATGCATGCCATGTGCCAGGGCGGAAGAAAATGCTGAGGACATGTTGGGGTGAGGTGACATCTAGGAACTGTGAGCTGGAATAGAAGGGGATAATGAGGGTGCAGAGTCATTGACAGCATGTGGGGGAGGTGGCACAAGAGAGTGTAGGAGGAGAAGAGACGCACAGGTAAGGTTTCCTCACACGTCAGAGGAAGGGCCGGGTTGCTGTGGTCATTTCCTCACATAGTCAAGTTCAGGGTCACCCCTCACCTTTGAGTTTGCATGAAGCCCCTCACTACAAGCAAAGAGTTGCTGGCCCCACCCAGGTTTACCTATGATCTTCTTTCTGCAGTACATATTACTCTGGATCGCAACACAGCCAACCCATGGCTCATCATCCCAAAGGATCGGAGACAAGTGAGGATTGGAGACAGCCATCAGAATGTGTCTGAAAATGATGAGAGATTTAATAATTACCCAGTGGTGCTGGGTGCCCAAAGATTCACTTCTGGGAAGATGTACTGGGAGGTAGATGTGACCAGAAAAGAGGCCTGGGAACTGGGGATTTGCAGAGAATCTGTACAGAGGAAGGGACAGTTTTTATTCAGTCCTGAGAATGGCTTCTGGATCATTTGGCTGTGGAATAAAGACATCTATGAGGCTGGCACCAACCCCCAGACCACCCTCCACCTTCAGGTGCCTCCATGCCAAGTTGGGATCTTTGTAGACTATGAGGCTGGCATTGTCTCCTTCTATAACATCACTGACCATGGCTCCCTCATCTACACCTTCTCGCAGTGTACTTTTGCTGGACCTCTGCGGCCATTCTTCAGTGTCGGTTTCAATGATGATGGGGGCAACGCGGCACCTCTAAAGCTCTGTCCACTGAAGATGTGATGATCAGGAGCTGGTGCCTCCTGATAGCACCTTCTGGGCACATGTTTCCTCCTCCTTGGCGTGATCCAGGTCCAATGACTACTGGAGGGGCTATTGTTACTCACTTCCTGTTGGTGATCCTCAGCCATGCACTCTGCCTGTTTTGCCCATCCAGTTGGAGCCATCCCGCACCCTCATCTCTTTAGAGGAGTCAGGGCCCTAGAATGAAGGCATTAGCTGGAGGTAACAGAAAGTCAATGTCAAGTGACCTTCAGCATCAATATTCCTAACATAGGTTCTTTAATGATTCCCTCCAGTGAAACAGACTCCTCACAGTGGACCCAAACTCATCTAGCTCAGTCAAAACCACATTTCTGCCTCCTTTGTGTAGCTTATTTTGTTTTCTTTTCTCTTATTTCTCGGCTATCACCTTTGGCTAGAAAACTATTCCTGTATCATCCTTGGCTTGCAGAAGGGCTTTCTAAGAAACTATGCCTCAGTCCTTGTTGATAAAGCCCAAAATATGTGTCTTTAACATGGTATATATTTTGATATGGTTTGGTTTTGTTGTTGTTACTAGAGGGGTTTTTTTATTTGTTGTTTGTTTTGTTTGTTTGTTTTCCCTCCCTGGAATATCTTCCAGGGTCAGAATATCTTCCAGGGTAACAAACCAAAGCCAGAATAAAGTAGTGAAAGTGGTTTATACAAGAGCTAAATATGACAATGACAGTATACTCGATGTCCCCAGTGGCAGCAAAGCCTAGGTACCACGCTAGCCTGGTCAGTGAGTCTTTGCAGTTGAATCTCACAAGGCAGGGACAGTTGTCAGCTTATGGGTGAGCTCTTCCCTGTTTCCATTGCCTTGAAGAAAGTGCAACTAGTAGCTGAGCTAGAACATAAACATATCCAGAACTTCAAAAATGCTGTAAGCAGATTTAAGATGAAGGATGGATAAATGCACAATAAAGAAAATCCAGGATTTTTTTAAATTCCGTCAGTAGTTCCAGAAGTTTTTCCATACACTATGGATGGAAACAATTATGACCCAACAGCTGCCAGAGTCAAGAAGCTGTGGATACTCCCCTGTTGCTCCAACTCAAACCAAAGAGGCCTCTCAGCTCTCACAACAGTACAGCCTCACAGAGACCCATTTCAACACAGAACTACAGCGACTGAAGGTTAACCTGTGGGTGGTGTGAAAGGATCCTGATGTGGGCAGCTATGATGAAAAGTGGCAAGTTGGTGCAACGGGTCAGAGTATCGAAGCGCCGGGTATTGGTGGCGCACGCCTTTAATCCCAGCACTCGGGAGGCAGAGGCAGGCAGATCTCTGAGTTCAAGGCCAACCCGGTCTACAGATCGAGTTCCAGTACAGGCTCCAAAACAATACAGAGAAACCCTGTCTCGAAAAACCAAAAAAATAAAAAAAGACTTAATGTCTACCTCAGAAAGCTGAAAGAATCCTTGAGCTACCTGACTAGGAGGATGGGCAGAGAACTACAGACATTCTCTATGCCTCAAATGAAGGCTTTGTGGTACCCAATAAAGACGGCCAGGGATGGAACAAGGGGAGTAGCTAGACCAGAAGAAAACATCTGTATTTCTTTCATTCCAAGTCATGTTTAACAGTGCTGTTCCCTTTCATTATCCGTTCTAAAGAAATTCACTTATGGTTTTGTTTGTCTTAAAAGTACGTTTTGCCTCCCTCCTTTGTCAATAACTTTGAGGTTAAACTTTGAGCTTGTAGCCAAGCAGTGGCTTGTCTGTTCTGGGGAACAAAGAAGCTAACTATGGAGTTCACCATGTGACTGTTGGTCACATGATTTGGTCAAAAAGATGGTTTTGTGGGATGCTCGCAGGTGGTGGCACCAGTAGGGAGATGTAAACATTGAATTAAACTTTGAGCTAGTGTGAAGTTTGGCAAAGAATGTTTTGATAAATAAATGCCATGGGAGTATTTAAAATATGCTTCTGTGTTTCAAAATATAAATCGAAACCTGACAGGTTTTTCATTGTTCCGTAGATTTTTGTAAGCATATAGTAAGTTTCATTATTACCGTTTCATGCGTACATATCAATGTGCCCTGCTCACATCCAACTCCAAGATCACTCCTCCCGTATCATCCTCTGTCTTCCCCCAAGTAGCCCTCCCTTAACTTTCATGGGCTTTCCTTGTTGTTGCATCTGTTTTATGTGTAAGAGTAAGAAAGAAAGAGTGAGTTTTCCTCCCTGCTCTTTTCTCCCCTCTACAGTTCTTAAGCCCATGGATTCAGGCTGGCCTTCCAACAACACCCTGATCACAATGGAGTCCATTTAAGAGCATTTTAGATGTTTGAGACTGTCTTGATATAAGTCACTGTCCCTGACACCCAGAATGAGGCTATGTCTTCTCTTGGACTTCGGATTCTGACTTGGGATTCTTCCAGTGGAAGGGAGTGTTCAATAGCTGCTCTCGGCTAGGCCCTGGAGTTGAAGAGCCCACAGTTCTATCCAGGACTTTCAGCCTGTAGGACCAGCCCAACAAGGAGCAGCAGCCATGTGTACAGCTAGCTGGGCACTTTGTGGGGAATGGATGGTAAGTCCTGCGGTAAGGCTGCCTAGGAATGGTGTGGATGCTAGAGTCTGACCATTGTATCCCCTGTGCCTGTGGTGACAGAATAGGTTCTCAGGAAACCATTGTTGGAATTAATACTGAGAGAGCATAGCTAAAATTTTCACCTTGACTGATGTTGGAAGACTCATACTTGATCTGCATAACACATAATGTTTCACAGACTCTATGGAAGAAACCAATATAATAGGCTTATCCAAAAGGCATGTCTTATGTGTTTATAAGGCGTATTGGTCTTTCCCCACACCCCTATTTCTAGACCCTGAAAGTCCTTGGGCTTCTCTGGGATCTCAAGAGAGAGAAGGAGCTCCAAGGAGGCGCCCAAATAGTGGCACATTGGTTTTCTTAAGAGTCTAACATATATTTGGGTTTGTAAACAAATTCTATTGACATAAGTGCATGTTTGAAAATTTCACATCATGTGCAATCAAAGATTATTTTTGTAACAAGCTGAATATTCTGTTGATAGAATCTACATCCAGAAACAGGACTGACAACATCTCAGCAGATCCAAATGGGTTCCCTTCGTATCATAACCCATAGGGTAACTACTAACTTCAGAAAAATGCCAAAACATCATAGATTTATTGTAATCCTTTGACTACTTCACAAATGAAATTATGTAAAATCTTTCCCTCCTTTCTCCTATGTCTAGATTAATTTTGCTTCATAATGTTCATAATTCAATATTATGTTGATAAGATTCATCCCTTTTAATTCTGTGTGTCTTTTATGTCATGTATCTTGATCCCATTCATTTCCTTGTCCCTTTGAAGCCACCCTCCACCCATGCACACACCCCAAATAAAACAAAATTTAAGAGAAAAAATAAATCAAGGCTAAAACTTAAAAATCTCATCATGGAAGCTATAATGTGGCACAGTGAGTCACACTGTAAATCCCTTCGTATCTTTACTTAGAAGCCATCATTGCAAAGAGTCATTGGTCTGTTTCAGGGTCTCAGGTTCTGCTACATTATTGATGCTGGACCCTCACTAGGACTCTTCCTGGGTATCCTCTTGTTGCCGCATGTTGTGGAGATCCTGCATCTTTGGGTCTGTGGGCCAGGTTCCTTCATATGCTCCAGCGGATCACAGATGAGGTGGATGATGGGGCCTCATAGCCTTGATTCATAACCAAGTCATAACCTTGGGTCTGGGTCTGGGCCTGGGCAGTTGTAGTGTTGGTCCACGAAATAAGAAATGGGGACAGCTCTCCAATGCTCACAACTTTTGGGGCTGGCTTGCCCACAGCTGCAGTAACAGGGTTGGCTCTCCCACTCTTAACTGTCCCAAACGTTGATAGGTGAGGGGTGGGGTGGCAATTCTCTCCCACCGAAGCCACCACTAGACATATGGGTAATGGGACAGCTTTACCATGCTCACAATTTCAGGGCTGCCTTACCCACACCTGAGCTAACAGGATTGTCTCTATTGCACTGCCCTGGCAAGATGCAGGGCCTGCTCTCCCTGCTGTTGCAGCTGGGGTGAGGGGATCATTCCCTTGCCCATGCCTCCACAAGACAGATGAAAAATGGGAACATCTATCCCATGCTTCCAGCTTCAGGGCTGGCTCACTGACACCTAAGATTCATGCCTTTTATTACCTATGCAATCCATTCATTTTCATTGTTATTCATGGTTCATTGTTTGTGTATGCACAGTTTATTTATTCTATTATTGATGATACAGAAGTAATTTCCAGCTTGAGGCTATTAAAAACATAAACATTTTTATAAATATACTTATAAAAATATAAAACATAAAGATAACTGCTATATTACCTCAAATATCAAAGTCAACATTATCAGCCAGAATTTCTATGAAAACTTACAAAAATCTTTCCCACTAAAGTAACTTCACTTAACATTCTTGATTTCACATATATGCTGTGTGCAATGATTATAAATTTTATATCCAAATCAGAGAAAGGGGATGACAACTAAAAGGAATTGTGAGATCATGAGAATTTTTTTAAAGACAAGAAATATTGCAATTTTGTTATGTCCCTTTGTGAATGATACAGTTGTAAAGGAAAACCCAAATTAAAGAGAAAGGAACTGTTACAGAGTGATATATCCCAGGGGAGACAGAACCAAATGCACAAGTGAAACGCTGACCTCCTTATAAAGACAAAAAGTTCATTTAAAGGATCAGGGAGGAGAGGAGGGATGAGATGGCTCAGAGGAGAAGTGCTGGCTGCCAAGCCTGTCAGCCTGAGTTCAATCCCCAGAACCCACACTGGAGAAGGAGAGAACTGATTTCTCACGAATTATTCTCTGGCCTCTACATGTGTCATGGTGTGCACACATGTAAACACACACTCACACACACACACACTAAATAAAAAATGTAATGCTAAAATACTTAAATAAATACATTTTATATCTTTGTGTAGATGTGTACATATTCTAATGAAAACTTGGGGTAAAGACTCCCAGTACTATACAGATGGTCCCTCAGTTATGACGACTTCCCTCAATTATTTTTATTTTACAGTGTGCAAAAACAGACCCATGCAACCATTGTGATTTTTACTTTAAGTATCCAAAGACTTTTCTGAGAAAGTCAACATTCATAATAAAATGAGCTTTGTGTTAGATTTGCCCAAATGAGCACATTTAAGGTAAGCCGGGTCAAACTCCTATGTCTCCAATCTGAAACAAAAGCTAATTGTCCTCAGTAATCTGCTATATATTTCATGAAACATTCAGATATTGTACAAAGGTGTCAGTAAGTTGGAAGGAGTTCATTAGTAAGAGATGTTTCTACAGAGGAGTAACAGTCTATCTTAATACTGGACAGAAAGGAGATCCCAGGAAGGGAAAATTCAAAGAGCAGAACAGACCCAAGTATGAGACTTCAGGCGTGATATCACTGTGGAGCTAAAGACACATTAACAAAGTCAACTAATGACTCAGCTGGTGGACTGAAAGAGGAAGAGATTCAAGTATGTCCAGTTCATGGAAAAACATGAAAAGCAAATGAAGCACTAACTATAAAATTGATCTTCTTTGTATTCTGTCTTAGTGTTAACACTATAGATAATAGTTTGTATCTTTTGATTTTCATTCTGGGGGAGGGAACTATTACAGTGATATAACTTTCAGTTCCTCAGAATCTGAACACTGTGACGTACCAGATCATCTCACTCACTATCTGTCACATAAAAGTTATCCTGAGAAACGAAAGATCTCCAGGCACTAATTCCAATTCTGATCAATATTGTTGCTTAAAGTCAAATAAAACCTGTTGATTTTCCTGAACTTCTTTCATTCTGCCACCTCCTTTCAAATGAGCAGACACAGAAAACATTAAAGAAGCACTGTATCTGTGCTGGCTCCAGACAGACAGAATCATCATGGAGAGGTGAGCACCAAGTACTGCACCTACCCAAGGAGCTCTAGGCAATTGATAGCTGCCAGGAGAAGAACCAGTTTTCTTTAAGGGTGTGGACCCTGGTGAGTAGACCACTCCCAGTGAAAGCCATACATCCTAGAGTATATGGGCAACATAAACAGCACTTTGTGGGTTTTGAAGGAGCAGGGGGAGGGCGGGGAGAACACAGAGTAGGATAGGAAAGAGGGCATGGATTTGGAAGGTGTGAGGAGAGGGGGTAAATGCAATCAAAATACTTTGAAACTCTCACAAGAAGTGATTTTAAAGTGGGGGTAAAAAAGAAGCACTGTATAAAAATTCCAAAGACACTACAGAAAAAGGGAGAAATTTTTAAATATGCTTACAATTGATTCTGCATGATAACAAAAAACCTGTTTATAGATCAGTCATGCCACAGCCTAATGATAAAGATACAATCAGAGCATAATCAAGAAACATGAAGAATGTGACAAGACTGAAAACTAAAATGTGATGTTTTTACAATAAACATTAAGCTGTAATGTTCACAATGGGTTTTTTTGTTGTTGTTTTTGTTTTGTTTTTTTCGAGACAGGGTTTCTCTGTACTGTTTTGGAGCCTGTCCTGGAACTCGCTCTGTAGACCAGACTTGGTGTCGAACTCACAGAGATCCACCTGCCTCTGCCTCCCGAGTGCTAGGATTAAAGGCATGCGCCACAACGTCCGGCTGTTCACAATGTTTTAATTCAGTCCTTAAGTCAATCTACAGAGATCTCTACAATGAAAGCTAATGATTAATAAATAAGAGGAGTGTATCCATCACTTTGCAAAACAATAGTAATAAGCCTGAAGCTTTGTCCACATAAGATATTCATAGTCAACTTCCCAACTAAGATACATGCATGTGCATGTATATGCCCCACCATGTTTACAAAAAATGACTTTCTAGTGTATCAAACTACATTATACTTAAAATTTCTAACTTATGTGTTTTGGT